TCTATTTTATATATGTCATTTAGATATAGATGTCCAAAAGACCATCGATTTTTCTGAGAATTCCCAAAGAAGAAAGACAGATTACATTTTTCTAGGTCACTTCTTATTTTCCTTTTCTCCACATGAAAACATCAACACAAACAAAAAAAAGTAAAATAAATAAATAAATAAATAAATAAATAAATAAATAAATAAATACCTAACAAGGCTATTTATCTGTTTAGAACATTTTTAATACATTTCTTTTTTAAGAATTATTTTATTTAACTTTATTTATCCATTTATTTATTTTAATTTGACCAGAGAGTGATAGTGTGAGAGATAGGGAGAGACAGAGAGAGAGAGAACATGAGAAAGCAAGCCACCAGGTCTGGAACTTGAACCGTTGTCAGCCATGTGGGAGTCCAGCGCCCTTAACCACCATGCCAGCTGCTGGTCCCCTGTTTAGAAAATTTAACTGAACATTTGCACTGGAACCTTAGAAATGTCCTCTCTATGTCTCTTCTATCCTCTCATCCTCAAATGCAGGAAATCTCTCCATGTCTCTTCTGTACTCACATCCACACATATTAGTTTCCAACCTCACACCTTCTTCTTTGTTCTCTGCCTCTTTTCTTCCTCAGGAGCAACAGAAATCCACCTTTGTTTTCCCAACAGAGTTTTATGTTATTTTATTTTTAGAAATATTTATTTAACATTATTTATTTAGTGTTATTTTTTTATTTGACCAGAGAGAGACAGAGAGCGAGAGAAAGGGAATGTGAGAAAGCAAGTCTTCAGGACCAGGACTCAAACTACAGTCAGCCATGTGGGAGTCCAGCACCCCCAACCACCATGCCCACCTTCTGGGCTCTGCATGGAGTTCTTTAAGCACTGTTTTGGTTGCCTGCATCCTTTGTAGGGCAATGGAGATCTCTGAGAAAGTTGAAGAACTTGATTATTGCAGAACTTATAACCAGAAGTACCCTGGTCTAACTCTTCAATTCAAAAAAGAAATTGAGAAAGCCACAAATTCATATTTTAATTTTATGTTTATTGGCTGCAGTTCAAAGCATGGATCAAAGTGGTGTCTAGCACTTGGGAGTAATTAGGAGACCTGGGGAACTGGTGCTGTGGACGGATCCAACTTATCTACCTAAGTTGATTATCTCTTGATCACTGCGTCTTCTTTTCATTATCTATCACATGGGAATAGAATCTACGTGAGTAAGAACACAGCAACCCACACTAGGGGCTGCAAAGCATGTTCACACAAACTAGCTGCTTTTATCCTCACAACAGTACAGCAAGAGAAAGATACAATATCTGTAATTATTACCACCCTCATTTAAAGGCCCAGAGGAATTAGTGGTCTGGTTGAGTTCCATGAAAGTAGCAGAGCTCAAACTCCCCTTTGAATCCAAATAGTTTACCAAGTTGTCTTTTTAACCTCTGCAGGAATAGTTATGAGGATTTAATGGCATCATACATGTAAAGATGCTTTCCAAACAAAATCAGGTGCATAAAAAACACTTATATTATTCCTGCATTTGTTTTTAGACAACTTTGGAAAGATGCTGTCTTCATAAGAACACTTTGGTTAGAGCTCAAGTAGTTTCCACAAATATCATCTTCAAATGGAACCATACATTATAAAATAAAACTTCATATACTAGATTAAACATCTTACTCTGACGGTAGTTTTTCAGTTCGATAATACTTTTTAAAATTATTTTAGGGGAACAGCAGTTAGCGTAATGTCTATGTCGCTGGACTCCCACGTAGTCGACTGCGGTTCTCTTCCCAGACCAGGTGGCTTAAACTCACGCCGGGCACGTGTGTGTGCGTGCCCAAGATCCTGAGAGGAGAATGGAGGAGAAGGGATTGGGGCGTGGCCATCCTCCCAGGGGGGTGATTTCTCACTTTCTGTCTCTCTTTCTCTCTCTGTCTGTCTGGCGAGCACACGCGTCCTATAGCAAAAACCTTTCCAAAAAAAAAATTATTTTGGGCCTATTTTTCAGATCTTTGTTGCTTATTACCAACTGGCAATTCTCTAAATGTTCATTCAATCTGGTTCCTTACCCGTCCCTCTAACACACATATACCCACATCCCCTTGCTCCCTCATGGTTTCTGATAAGCTATTTTTACTTGCCTATGAACATTCACAAGGCAGCCTGTAAGCCCAGGAGTTTGATTTCTCTCTTAGCCAAGATGAACTCATTGTAATAGATGCCTTCCTCCCCAGAGTATTTCACGTGGGCCCAATATTCTCCTTCACTTGCACAGAAAATTAACAATGGATAATATCTGAAAATCTGGAGCCATAAGAGCTCAAAAATGTCAATTTTTCAAATTGCCTATGTTCCAGATATCTAATTTCTTTTGTAACTTTCCATGGAATCGTCTCCATAATTTTCATTCATTTCTCAAGCTACGAAGCTCACAATTGAACACATTTTCTATTGAGTTTTCCTGTGTGCTGAGTCAAACAGTTTCAAATGATACAATTACTTCATCAAAAAACAAACAGGCATTTTAACAAGCATTCCCCCCATATCCAATCTGCCCTAGAATTTGTGTTATCTAAAGGCTCAATTGTTCTCAAGCAAAAGAAAAAAATATATATATATATACACATCTGAAAGCAACATAAATAATCTACTATATTATCAATTGCTTCTGAAGCATATAAAAGAATTGCACTATATATATTTGCTTTCTTTAAACCACCATATATATTTCTGATTAATGTTAATACTTCAGCATGCTAGGATCCTAAATCTCATTTTATCCTATACTAAATACAATTGTAGTTTTCCAACATATATTGATACTCTAGATTTTTAAAAAATGAATTCTGATATGATAAAATTTTTGTCTGAAATATTGATGATTTTCATCAAAACAATATTCACACTTCATTTAAAAAATCAAATAAGACTGCAACACTTCCCATAGCCAATTACAATAGCTCTGAAAAGGAAGTCTTTCAACTATTTCTGTTCTTTATTCTGCTCATAGAAGGCTAACAATAAACTTATCATTTGAAAAAATTCTAAGTTGAATGATAAAATAACTATATTTCATTATTTGTTGTTAATTTACTACTTATCTACTTGACCATCAGCTATGTAAAATGGGGCTTAGCCTTCACTTCGGTCCTTCTCTCAACACCTCTGTAGTTTTGATCATTATATTATTATTTTGGGTTCTGTTGGTTGTAATTTGGAAACATATACTTACATTCCTATTTCTCATCCAGTAAGTTACGGTCAGTCTTTTGACACCCATCTATTACATGTGGCATAGAGCTGCTCATGCCTCTACCCCTCTCTGAAGTTTTGCTCCTTTCTCTCACCATCTTCTGTTCTTTCACCTTCACGTTATCGAGGTTGCAGAGTGTTTATTATGTGCACTAAAATGCTGCTTTTATATTTAAGTCAGGTCAAGTTGAACTTTCTGTTACTTATAACCGGCACTCTCCTAACCACTGAAAACCTTCTATGTGCTGACCTGCAGGTTTTCAGTGGTTAGGAAAGCGTTAGTCATAAGTAACAGAAAATTTCATTTCTTTCATTAGAGGGAGAGTGACAGATATACTAGCAAGAGAGTAAGACAGGCGCCCCCTACAGGGTCCTGTCAGCCATAACTCCCTTTGCCCAGCCCTGCAGCTAGTCAGAATTTTGGGTATAAGTGCTTGGCATGTTTCAGATCACCCCGGGATTCAAACTCATGGCCAGCCATATTGTTTCCAGAACTGCAGAGAACCGTGCTACCACCTGTACCACTGAGGCTGGACATAAACTACCTTAAAAGGACATGGCGTATTTTTAACCTGCAAGTTCTAGAAAGTTAAAATGTATCTCACAAAACAAAACAGAAATGATTAGTCGAAGTTCTTCAACAGTTCTAAGATAACATCTTACTCAGAAGCTTTTTTAGAATAACAAACTTTTTTAAGAATTATTTATCGGGACCAGCAGTTAGCGTAATAGCTATGTCGCTGGACTCCCACGTAGTCAACCGCAGTACAAGTCCTGGACCTGGCGGCTTAAACTCACGCAGGGCGCATGTGCGTGCGTGCCCAAGATCCCAAGAGGAGAATGGAGGAGAAGGGATTGCGGTGTGGCCATCCCCCCTGGGGGGTGATTTCTCACTTTCTATCTCTCTGTCTCTGTCTATCTGGCGAGCGCACGCGCCCTCTAGTGAAAACCTCTCAACAAAAAAAGAATTTTTTATTTAATTTTATTTATCATTATTATTATTCTCTTTTAATTTGCCACAGAACATGTGCACTCATCAGAGAGAGAGAAAAGGAAAGTGAGAAAGCAAGCTGCTAGGTCCAAGACTTGAACCATGGTCAGCCATGCCTGAGTCCAGTGCTTCAACCACCATGCCACCTGCTGGCCCTAAGTGACTTCCAAAAAAATGTAGTAAGTTCTCCCTGCCTAGTCCCTCTAATTTCTTCTGCTGCTCTGCAAAGAGTTTTGAGAGGTTCTACCTGGTTTAGCAGATTCCCATTCGCTGGTGAAAGAAAATCATAGTACTTTCCTTCATGTCATCCTCACAAAATATTATAGTTATGTTCACCTTATCATACCCAGGGGTTATGTATGGCTCAAAATATGGGATTCATGGGACCAGCAGTTGCCATAATGGCTATGTCGCTGGACTCCCACATAGTCGACCACGGTTTGAGTCTCAGACCCGGCAGCTTAAACTCAAGCCGGGTACGTGTGCATGGGTGCCCAAGATCCTGAGAAGAGGATGGAGAAGGGATTGTGGCATGGCCATCCCCCCTGAGGGGTGATTTCTCACTTTCTGTCTCTCTGTCTCTCTCTGCCTTTCTGGCGAGCACACGCACCCTACAGCCAAAAACTCTAAAAAAAAATGGTATTCATGCATTTATAATTAACCTCATTTCAGAAAGCATTTTAAGTGGTTTAAATAAATTGTGTGCATGCAAATAGAAGCAAATAATATAGAGATGAACAGTACTAAACCAAGACAACATAACGATGATATTTATTTTTAAAAATTACAGGGAAGCAGGCTGTAATATCTTGTTAAATTAAGGTGTGAATTTAGCTCTGAACTTTCTGAGAGTTGAAATCCAAACAAATTACAAATATTTCATTTCAGAGGGGACAAAGTTTCTCTTAATACTTAACTCAGAAAGAAATTGCCTCCAGAGACCATGATGTAAGATAAAACAGGATAAGGGGTTTAGTGTGCCCATCACCAGTGTTTTCTAAAACCTTTTCTCTGTTTCTCCATAGGCATATAAAAGATTCTTGCCATAAATATGTCACACAATGAAGAAACTCTTCAAGGTTGGGTTAAAAATATGAAGTATAGACTTTATAAAAGGAGAATTAAAGGGATCTAAGGGTATGATTCACAAAAATATTTTTCTTTATCCTTTTCAGAAGTAGAAAGAAAAAAAATAGCTAATTATTTTTCTATTCTCTCTATATAGATATTATTGCATTTTTCCTAATGACATCATTTTTCTCTGAATGAACTGGATTGAAGTCACATAGAAGTGAGTTGAAGTCACATAGAAGTCTGATTTTTCCAAAACACAGAAATACAGAGACATTTCAACTATAGGATCTAAAAGATCTGAATCCAGTTGTTAGACTCATTAATGAAGCAATCTTGAAACATTATCTTAAACGTAAAAACATGGGGAAATTAATGTTATGATTAGTCATATCACCAACTTCTAAAAAATTTTCTGTGTATCGTAAAAAACAACAAAAAAGTCTTTATGAATGCTAGAACTAACCCCGAAGTCAGTTTCTCAGATAAACATTTAAGTATATCTTAAACCTGACAGCTCTCTAAAATAAGTGCGTATAGACTTATTGAAAATCAGAAAATTACCAAACACTGGGTTTGTTTTAAATACTTAAGCCATGCATATTAGACTAACATTGATCAATTCTTCCACAATTTTCACTCAGAAAATGAAATATGCACACTTAATTACTTGAAAATAACAACTGCTGGTTCAATTAAATTCAGCGAATTTTACATTCTAGAGTTACCATATGTACATTTGTTTGAAGTAAAAATTAGACTTCTGTAATAGATTGCATATTTTGGAACAAAGTAAACAAATTACTTTATGACACATGGAGATATATCTAAAAATACACATTTACTTTCTTCTTTAAAAATTAAGCACGAAATTCGTAAGTTAAGTCCCTAATAAACTGCCTGCAAGTTTTTCACTTGCTTATGTGGGTATAAATTTTATTCAGCCATTAACAACCTCCTTGTAAAACCATGCACATTAGCTGGCATAGGATACATTATTTATATGTATTCATTGAAGCTTGCGCATGTTTTTGAACATTATGAACAGAAGAATATTGAATAGACATTATGATCCATTTTGTTTTGAGGAATGTTTCCGAGTAATCAGTAAAAAGTAACATTTCTCAAACTTTTCCTATCCAGAATTACTTCTTGCTTTAGTCTCCACTTCCAAAACGCTCTCCATTCAAAAAAGAGAAAAAGAGGAAAAAACCTGAAAGTACTGCTTTGCTCTAGAATTAGGAGTCAGAAGTTTCATTCCAATCTCCTTTGAGAGAAAACTGGCAGGCTCGAAAATATTTTGGACAGAAAATAAAAAGACATTCAGAGGAAATATTAGTAGGCTGCTTGTAGGCAGGTATCTTGATATTTGCCTGTAAGGAAACCCAAGTAATTATAATGCATTTAATGCCACTTTGCACTTGGCACAGTCTCTTACAGAAAACAACGTGCTTGACACTTTCTTGGTTGGATCTCACCACATTCAAGAGAGGCAGGCAGAGCTGTGCATGTTCTACTCTTAAAACGGTTATCACAAGATTTGCTAAAAATCAATCCAGAAGGTGTTTTTTTTTGGACAAAACTTAGTCTTGGAGGTCATCTGGGAAGGCATGGTAAGTTTCAGTCATGAAAGTAAGGTGGTAATGTGGCCATGTTTTCTTGTTTGATATCTCTCCTACTTATTTTTCTCTTCTTTTGGCTTTTCGTATAGATCATCTGTAAAAAAAAAAAAAAAGATTTGGTTACCAAAATAATTTATGCAAAAGGGACATGTCACATGTATATAAAAATTTTTAAATGTAAAATTTATTGCCAGAGAAAAGAAATCCAGTACAATAATTTGAGGTGCAAATAGTATAATTTTATTTAAAAATATGTAAAACCAAATACTGCTTTTATCGCGGTCTATTCTACTTTCAGTAAAGCACTCAAAAGTTCATAAACGTCAAAGGGACAACAACAAATGAGTAATCCTTCCAAATCAAATATCAACTTTATCTTTATATTCTTCTATTAAGGTATTTCATACAAGCTACACTGAAGGTTGTATGACTTTATTACACAATAAAATTAACATAAAAATGATTTACATAGAAAACTATTTTCAATTTTTAATACAATGTTCTTTTGAAAGGGGGAAAAAACATGGCAATGTCAATGACAGCTTGCATTTTGTAGCAGAAAAGAAACTAACCTCTCTTTCAGATACTCGGTGTCTAGAACATTTATTAAGCATATAGAGAAGCTCAGGACTGCGACGCACTACCTGATCGCTGCGTGCTTTGGCACTTTGGAGTTGTATTCTACAAGCCAAGGCCTAAACTCGAACAGTTCATGGTGCCACAGCGAGTGTGTGCAGATTTCCTTCATAGCCCAACTTTCTCTAGAAAAGGCATTTAAATTGAGGGATTTAGAAAACCTACAAAAGTAGTGTGTCCAACATTCCCTTTTTTTAACTCCTCCTAATAATTGTAATTTAAGTATCGGACCTCCCTGAACAGATTCCCACTTTGCGACACGGCTCCCGCCTGACCTGACTCGCTCTGGGTGCCCGCATCTGGGTCCCACGCCTGGGCTCTGAGCGGTTCGTTCCTAAGTGGATCAGGGCGGGTGTGTTGCCGGAGTCGCGTCCTATTGGCTCCACTCTCGGGGACTGGTCGGGCTTTCCGACACGGGATTGGACGGAGCTGCCCTCTGTAGGCCGAGATCATTGGAGGGCGCTGGAGCAAGGGGGCGGGGCGGGCTCCTCCGGATTCTTGACCGAGCGCGCTCGTCAGCGGAGCCGGCACCGGGCGCGGGAGCCGG